CCGAATCTTCATGAACCCAGAAGTCTTAACAGAGGCTCTAGGAGGCTTTGGGGGAACTTGAACTTGGCATTTCTGTTTTTTTCTTACTGCATTGCAGCGCCTCTGGGAGCAGTTCTCCTACCCAGTGCCACCTGACATGGGTAACTTTGTTCATCAACTCTCAGTTAAACAGTTAAGATATGTATGTAGAGACCACCAGTTTTTGAGTGGCTACTAGGGAGACAGGTGTTTGATTGTGCTGGAGGACTCCCTTCTGTCCCTCATTCCTCCCACCGCAGTTCCCCAGACCTTTCCAGGCTCTGGGGTGGGGAGAAGAGAGGTGGGGAGTAAGGGACAGTAACCACTGGAGTGACAGCAAAAGCATTCGCAACAACAACACAAAATGACAACACACTCCTGATAAGTACTTAAATGATTAACCTAATAATAAATTAGAAGAGGATAGATAGAAATATTTTTTTTCTTTCTTAAAGAAACATCCTTTTATAATCACCCTCGAGTACGCTGACAGATCAGTAGCAGTCGGTCTATCTCCACAAAGAGAGGGTTAAGTGCTTCAAGGGTCGACTGTGGGGTCAGGCATTTGGGAAGGTTCCCCAGCTGCTGGAACCCAGGCAGCCATGACCCAGGGCTCAGGCTGAGCCTCAGTGGCCAAGGTAGGCCAGCTTGCCCGTCGGTTCATGAACACACAGAACTACAGTGAACATACTCATCCACGACCTGAATCGATCCTGGTTCTAAAGCTTACTTAGGAGTTCATTTGGTGTGCAATAACGCTATCTTTTTCAAAAAGAAAAGAAAACAAAACACCCCCCCCAAACAAAAGCAACATGATTTCCATTGCACAGAGCTTTGACACAGAGCCATCTATTAAGTGCTTCCCGTTTAAAGCAAACTATAAAAAATAAAATAAAACAAACAACAAACAAAAGATAATTATGGGTTGGGGAAAAAAAAAATTACCAAACAAAAGCAGCCCCGTGCCGCTTGGATGTGTCTTGCTGAATGGTGTCCTATTTTGCCAACGGAAGTCCCAACGCTTCCTGGCGCTGTGCTTCTGATATATTTTCCATAGGGATAGAGGCGTGGTATTGGGATTTAAGGCACCTTTCCTTTCTGATCACAGAAAGCTTAGTACATAGCATATTTGTGGTAGAAATTAAAGCCAGAATACTACAAAAATTACAGTAACAGACTCTAGTTAACATGAGCAAACTAAACCCATCTACGAAAAGCAACTCAAAGGCATTTGAAATAAAAAAAAAAAAAAACAACAAAAACAACAACAAAAAAAAGGAGGGATGGGGCATGCACATTCATGCATAATCTAATGTGTCTTTCTCTCATTAGCCCCTCCCCCTCTTTCTTGGCAACAATGCTGAACTTTTCAAGTCAGCATTTCAAAGGAGACCAGGAGCTTTGGAAATGTCTTGTTAAAGCTAAATGTCACTTCGTCCAAAAATGAAAACTCGATATGCCACTAAAGATATGGCCATGGGATCTTTGGAGGGAGGTGGCAGGAGAGGGGTAGGGGAGGGCATGGGGTGAAGAAGCAGGTCCTCGGCGCAACGTTGGGGAACCCTGGCTTTTCTTTTGCTGTTCCTGAACTCCCTTCTTGCACTGGTGGAGCCTGAGGTCTTGGGGTTGTATCCTTTGCTGAGAAGCTTGTCCCTACCCTCACTTTCCTGGTAGTTTCCTTCTATAGAACACTGACAGAAGTGCTGAGCATGACATTTTCTCAAATTAGTTCATCACTTAGCATGCAAGTGTACTGGTCAGCCTGGTATGCAGCACCTCTGGGAGCTGGAACCAAGTCACTTAAAGAGTCTCAGGCCACCTGGGACAAGCACTGCCACCTTCCCCTGAATTGGCCAAACTCCAGAGAAGTTGCAGCAGCAGCTATGTCGGTGAATTTGACATTCATGATGGGGACAACAAAACAAAGTTCCCTATGTCCTACTGGGACACTTTGGCCACTAGAACAGGTATGACTCAAATCTACCAGCTGTCCTGGGAGCTGGTTTTCTCCCACATGGAACAGAAACTGGCATGTTCTTTTGGGAAGTAAAGATCATATACGAATGATAGGGGAGAAAGCCGTATGACCTTTCCTGTCCTGGAGATACTTGTGTTTGTAAAGCGGAGTTCACAGCAAGGTCCCAGGGCTGGAGACAAGAGATATGAATAGTCACAGGTCCTGGGGATGTGTGCTTGTCCTTTAGGGATAACCAAAGGAATGGCTGTGATGGGGTCTGGTAGCTATGTGAGAAGGCAGAGCAAAAGACAAAAGTTTCTGAGGCCAGAGACTGTCCCTGCCTACAGACCCAACAGCTGCCGGAGTTTCAACAACAGCTGAAAGCCAAGAGAAAATCCCCGTGCTTAGCAGGCTCCAGATACCACTTCAGGACATGCTCAAGAAAGGAGGCAAAACGCCCACCTGCCAAGATGAGATGATCTGTCAAGCTTGCAGCCTCTTGAGTCCTCCTCCCCCTAGGCTACTTGGCTCACAGTTCTGAGTGATGTCAAGTGGTGAGGTAGAAGAGGAAAGATGAGGGAAGACATTGAGGAAGGGACAGGAGTAACACAGCCAAGAGCCTTCAACTCTTGTTCTACCCCATCTTCTCTCCAAGGACAGCTCACAGCCTCAGGGGGCTGACCTAGAATGACTACAGGTACCTGCAGCAGCACATGGCAAGCACAAGCTTGTGATGGACAGCAAACAATTGCATAGGGTGCCCAGGGTCCATTGAGCTCTCCTTTGTAAGAAAACACAGCTCTGGAGGACAAAGCCACAGTCTCGCTGTGGCAGGGAGGGCACCTGTGAAGCTGGTTATCAGCATTTTGGCTCCCCAGTGCTTAGTCAATGCCTAGAGTGGCCCCTTGGCATTGGGTACAAGCTGCTTTCTTCTATGCTTGCTCATGAGCTCCACAACTAAACTTGGCTCTGGCTGCAGAGGCAGATGAGTTATGCAGGTAGCAGTGGGCAGGGACTCTTTTTGGCCACAAAAGCCCAGAGGAATACTCAGCTCACAGCCCTGTTGCATTCTGGGCCATCTACCAGATGTGGCTTTAAACAGGGAGAGGAGAGATGCTGACTAGAAGAAAGCTTAACTGGGAGACACCTGAGCTTTGCAAACAGAAGTATCTGCCCCAAGGAGGATGACATCTGTCCTCTTTCGCCTCATTTTCAGAGTGGTGTGGCTGGACTCATAAAACTACATCCCAGAGAGTCTGCACTGATTCCAAACCAGGACACAGTCATAGCCACTTGTTTTTTATAATATATATATATATATATATATATATATATATATATATATATATATTATATATAAAATTAGGGTGGCTAGCTAAGAAAGTAGTCAACTTCAGCTAAGTGCCTGTATTTTTTCTTCTTCTTTTTAAAGAGAGAGGTGTAGTAGACAGAGGTCAGGTATCTACACTGACTAAACTTTCAGGGAGGTGGTGACTGGGAGCCAGGTCAGAGTGGAAGTGAGTGGGTAGGAGTCTAGGAACCCACATGCTTGCCACTTTGGATGCCTCAAGGGGTCTTGGGCATGAATGAAGAGGTGTCAAGGGGCTTGATGTGAACTCTGATTTCATGGTGTGCTCCCATTCAGCCAGCTGGGTAATGGCATAACTAGTTAGGATTGCTGCCTCTAATGAAAAAGAAAGGTATTTAAAATGAATAGTGACTTGTGATGACGTTTTAGTGTTGTGTGTGGAAGCATTCTTCCCTGGGGAAGAAGCACATTCAGCTTTTTAAGCCGAGAGAGTGGAAAGAAGATGGCTGGCTGCCTGTGGGAGCTACTACTTGGATCTCCAGCCAGCGGAAGGTCACCTCACCGCACGAGGGAGCGCTGTTCAAGGCACTTGAATATTGCTTTTCAAGATGAAAGATGAACCCTTGGACTCAAACTGGGAAGGAAGGGAGGACCTCATGAGGAGGGAGATGTAAACCCCGCAGGTTTCTGTGTTGTCTACTAGCAAGTCTTAGAAATACTACAGACAGCGCTAGCTTAACCCCAAACACCATCAAGTTGGGATCTCAATAAAAAAAATAATAATAATGATAATAATAAATAAGAGAAAATACAAATACAGAACTCAAGCAAAAACCTAACCAAGTGATTGTATCAAGCACCCAGATGGAGGTCTGGCACAAGAGACAGGATGGAAATCAACAAGAAGCTAGATCAAAAATCAAAGGAACAAACATCACTAACTTGCTTGGAAGAGCCAAAGGCTGTCTTAGCCCTCTACTGTGTGGCTACCAGGATGGAACAACATCTTGACTTCCATTTCCTCAGATTTAACACTGTGGTTAAGTAACAGTCATGCCTTTAAATTGAACACACTACCCTCTTTAGTCCTGTTAACTCTGCTTCTCATCCTAGTGAAAATTAGGTGTTTAAGATCCATCATCACCCATGATGACAGAATTCCCTCGAGGTTTCTGTGGAGGGGGTACCCTGAGCCCATCAGTGACACTGCTCCTTCATGTCCCTAATGGGTCCCTGGTGTGAGTGAGCTCTTCCTCACTCAATGACCCTGCACAGAGCCAGGTATGACTCTGTTCTCCTGTCCCTCCACTGTGAATTCTCTTCTCACTGAACCAGATCTCAAGTACAGAAGTGATGTACCATCATCCAAAGACAGAACAAGGGGCCTGCCTCCCAGCCTCCTAGAGCCTCCTGGGAACTTCTCATTCATGAAGAGGCATTGTCTTTAGTGTCGTGACTCTTACAGTTTGTGAAAACTTTAGCTAAGAGCTTGCAGCTGCAGGTTGAAAGACCGTGAATGAAAATACATAAGCTCCAAACATCATGCAAGAAATGTGGTTTCACATCTGACAGTCAAAGCCTACAAGCTAAGGAATAACAAGCACACTGAGGTGTCACAGCGGGAGATACCTTTAAAATTAGAACTCCCTCCCACCCTCCCAAATAAAAAAAAAAGTACTATTAATTAATTAAACTTAAGAAATAATGAATGCACCATTAAAATGTCATCCAAAGATGTTGACCTAAGACAAAAGTTTCAATGATACACAATACGGTCAAAAAGTTTTCAATCAGTAATATACAGTATGACAGCTACATCTTGTAAATTATACCCAATACTGCCGGCAGTCTATCCCTCTAAAGAATATTTGCCCCTTTCATCCCTTCCTAACAATCAGATAATAAAATACAGCACCTATAAATAAGCAAAAAAAAATATATATATATACCGAAATCATCTATTGTTAGTTTAAAGATATGGCAATAAGGAGTCTAAATTAGCAAAACCTGTAGAAGCCATGACTGATAAACCAGCTTATTGAAAAAGGTGGCAGTAATGCACTCTATGTGTGCACAGGTACTTAAGAAAATACACAGACGTATAAAATTGCACACGCACACGCACACACACTTTCATCCACCTCTATACTCACGCATATACACATAGACAACGGGAGGAATCAAGAGACAAGTTAGACTTTTGATTTGTACTTAGACTGCCCTAAACTGTGCATAAAAAAATCCTTGTGAGAGGAGAAATGAATGAAGGGCCAATGGTCTGGTCTGGAATTGAAGAGTGTCACCATTTTGGTGAGTTTGGGCCATCTCTACAGGGATGGGAATAGAGCCCAGACTGTTGCATTCTCTCTTCTGCAGGGAAGGAAGCTTCCCACGAGTAAATAGGGTTATCAGTGCTTGTGGTGGGAAGGGGACGGGGAGAAGAGACAGGAAGAGAGAGAGTGCGCATGGTTGCACCAGCCCTGCCCAAGCCCAGGGAGCATCTTCCCCTGGGGGCTCAGTCTGTCAAGTGCCCTGGAGAGTGTTGTGAGGTGAGGTGCCTTCTGTGCCAAGGAAAGATGAACAGACGGGTGCCTGCACACGGAGGGACTAACTGCTGTGACCTCGTGGGCCTACATTTTCCTTCCTTTCAACGCTTGCACATGAGCGGATGTGCCAACACAGACATAGACACCATAAAACAAAATGAACCGGTACATGCTACAGTTCTAACTTGTCTCCTAAACCTCCGAGATATGAGGTCTGATCAGCGTGCTCTGCGGTTAGAGGTTAAAAAGCAGATTATAAAATACCTAGATTCGGATCTTTCTTTTTGTCCTGATTTGGCCTAGAATGGAGTGTATTAAACAAACTCTGGCCAGCAAAAGCCCAGAGTCAGTTAAAGCTATGGATCAATGTGCACTACATGTCAGGATTCTATTTACGTACAAGAAAACACTACGTCAGCTACCACAAAATCAGATACTTTTCCTGATGTGACTTTTCTTTTTTTTTTCCTTTTTGTTAAAAAATATGTGGAGTAAATGTGTTTTATTTTAATTCAAAGTTTCAAACGAGAAGATTCTTTTCTTGAAAATATTTAGGAATCCAAACTAGTGTGTTTAGAGTCGGTTTGACTGTGCAATCTCTTAGTGGCAACTGAACAGCTACAAAAACTTTCTTTTTTAATTTTTCTGAAAAATCCCCCCCTTCCTGGTTTAAGAAGATAATAGTGTATTATCGCTCTGAAGCCATTAGATGGCAGATAAAAAGCCCCCTTTTAATATGTGGGTTTGATTTTTTTTTTTTAAAGCCCACACGAAAGAGGAGGGCACAAGGCAAAAGCTGTAAAGAGTTATTCCAGAACCTGTGGAAATCACTTAGGGCAATTTAAAAAAAAAAAAAACAAAAAAAAAAAAAACAAACAAAAAAAAAAAAAAAACACTTCAGGGTACAAAAAAGCTCGACTACACATTTCCGTTTTCTTCCTTGAAAACACGACATAGATTGGGCTTAATGCTCCTTTGTTTTCTATATGCACCTTGGCCTATGGCGATTTTGCCCTGTGGCCCGCAGGGCGGTAAGTGCGCAACACGTCCAGGCCTCGGGTCGGCACTGCCCTCCACGCACCCGCCTGCCCCGGCCCACTACTAGCCAGTGCTGACTAGGCCTGGCTGGGACCTGCTAGGCGCAAGTAGGCCTGGCTAGGCCCGGCGAGGCCCTGCTGGTCAGGCCCAGAGGCCGGCGCCCTCAGAACTCCCATTCAATGGGCTCCTCCCGGCTGGCAGCCTTCTCCAGGCGATGGATGATGCTGTTCAAGTTCGCGGCCTTCTTCTTCCGCACCGGGTTGTCCCGGGCGCCCGCCGCCTCCGGGAGGCCAAAGAGGCTCTGAAGTGAGCTAGGCCTTCGCGCAGGCGCATTGGCGGGCGCGCTGGTGCTTGGCAACGCAGAACTCCTCTCTCCCGCCCTGGCCGCCCCAGGGGCCTCGGTGGCCGTCGCAGTGGCTGAGGTAGCGGCGTCCTCTCTGGGCGCGGGTGCGGCGAGGTTTGGCACAGGCGCCGGGGTGTCGGTGAGGCCCTCGGGCGGTGGCCTAGGCCGGCCCGCGTCTTCGCCATCGTCCTGCCCTGGGGTCGCCGAGGATTGGGGCTGTGCCTTCGCCTTCTCGGCAGGCTGCGTCGCCTCTTCCCGGTCGGCCGGGGCTGCGGCCGCCTCTGCAGGCCCTCCCTGAGACTTGGTGGCTACTGTGGTGCCACTTGGCTCCTCCACGTCGGTGGCCTCCACGCCGTCACAGCTGTCACCTTCTGAGCTGGGTGCGGCGCGGCCACTTCGAGCGGAAGGTGAGTCGCTGGCACCGGCCTGGCCCTGGCTTCCGGCTTGAATCTCCTCAATAAAGAGTTCTCTGCGGATCCGAGACCTGCAAGACACAAGCGAAGGCCCTGTGAGCTTCCTGCACACAGGCCTGGCCTCATTTCTGTCCACATCACTTGCTACGTTTATTGCCTGCCTCCCTTGACCAAACTCTACCTGTGTCGAGAAGCCATCACCTTCTCTCTATCACACACTTAATTTTTTCTTTTCTTTCTTTTTTTTTCTTGAGATAAGATCTCGTATCCTGGGCTAGCCTTGAAGCTGCTAACTAGCCAAGAGTGACCTTGCATTTCCCCCAGTGCTGCTGGGTGTTCCAAGTGTTCACCACCATGTCTGGTTTATGTGGTGCTCAGGAGAGAAGCCAAGGATCTGTACATGTGAGTGGAACACTCTATCTACTGAGCTACATCCCCAGCCTATTTTATTCTCTGAGCCTCTGAGCCCAGGTCTTGTTATGTAACACCAGCTCGAATTTGTCATGTGGCTCACTGAGACTGGCCTTGACCGGAGGATCCTTCGGTTCCATCTCTAGCTGCTTCCACTCTGTGCTTCTGGTAATACTCACTGTCAGGCCTCCACCCACTGGTATATTTTCAACTGATTCCCTACTTGGAAGGAAGCAGACTTGGGGGAAGAGCCAGCTGATCAAGTATGAAGGAGACTAAATATATGCTTTTAGTATATCAAGAAAAAAGAAGAAGAAGAAAAAAAACAAAACAGGGAATGGGTGTTTGGCCTGTATGTATCTGTGGGTCACATGTGGGCCTGGTGCCCCTGGAGGTCAGAACACAGTATTGACTCTCCTGAAATTGGAGTATATGAGCCGATATGGGGTGCTGGGAGTCAAACCTCTGGAAGAGCAGCAGGTGCTCTTAACTGCTAAGCCATATCTTTCCAACCCCACTAGCAAATGTACTTATTTTTATATATATTTCTTTGAGACAGGGTTTCTCTGTGTAACAGCCCTGGCTGTATTCAAACTCAAAGAGATCCACCTGCCTCTGGGATTAAAGGTGTGCACCACCACTCTCGGTTCAATCAGCCAAGTTTTTAAATACGGTTTCCCCCATCTTTAGGTGGTAATGTGCTCAGGTAACTTGAGACACTGAATGCCAGGACAGCTTTCTTCCTTCATAAAGGTCCTTAGTCTCTTGCCTGCCAACTCCCCATAACTTTCCCCATCACTAGGCTCGACCAGCCAACTTTCTAGGTGTGTCTTTCCAGTAAGCCAGCATAATATGCAAAAACACCCAATATTTGCAATGCATCTTTGGGTGGATCAGCAACAATCCCAGTGTACTGCAGAAAGTGGGCCTCCGTAAAAACCCCAGGGCTGGACATGGCTTAGACTTTTTTCCTGTTCATTGTACGAGTGAATGAAAGGAATACCCTCTCGGCACCCCATATTAGAGGGCTGGACTAAGGGCTTTAAGCTTGCTAAGCAAACACATGCCAGCTGAGCCATGCCTCCAACCCTTGACTGACTGTGATTTCAGCCAAGAGATATATATCTATCTCCCAGCACCTGCTGAACTTTTACGTTTTAAGACATGGTCTTAATAAGTTTCCCTTGAACTTACTCTGTAGCCTAGGCTGGACTTAAACTTTAAATCTTCATCAGCTTCCTGAATATCTGAGGTTATAGGCCTATCCTGGGCTTGATTTTAGGGAGTGTGGGTTTGGCTTAAGATATGAGAACCTTGGAGTAGTTGCTTATCTGTTCTATAGTTAGTTGTTTTTGCTAGAGTGAAATCAGAATCCCACCCTAAAGGTTTATTTGTTTGTTTATTTATTTTTGAGACTGGGTATCTACATAGCCCTGGCTGTCCTAGAACTTACTATGTAGACCAGGCTGGTCTTTAACTCATAGAGATCCACCTACCTCTGCCTCCCCAGTGTTGGGAATAAAGGCTTGTGCCACCATGCCCAGCTTTTAAAATTTAAAATTTCCTTATTTTGTATGAGTGTTTTGCCTGCATGTATGCATGTGTACCACAGGAATGCTTGGTGCCCAGGGAGACCAGAAGGGAGTACTAGATCCCGGGGACTGAAGTTACAGACGGCTGTGAACCACCATGTGGGCACTGGGATCTGAACCTGGGTACTTTGGAAGAGCAGCCAATGCTCTTAACTGCTGAACCATTTCCCCAGCCCATGTCCCAAAGATATTAAAGCTGTATTTAGAAGGGCGAGGTTCTGATAGGTCCCCAGAAATATCCAGGTACACAGCTTTCCTAGGGTAGCTTCAGGAATTTGGAAACTGGGAAGTTGATTTGTTCACACAATGTTTTCAAGCCTCATGACAGCAAGGATGTCAGTGAGGTGAGCAACCATTTCTGCTCTGCCTAGGCAGGAGATGGCAGTAGATGGGCAGCTAAGCTAAATCTTACAAATAGGATGCAGGTATGCTGGGTCTGAAGTTTGTCTCTGCTATTTACTAGTTACACAACTTAGATAAATAAACGTGGACTTTTGAATTATTTGCTCTCAAACTTTCTAAGACAGTGTCTTACTGTGTAGCCCAGGTTGGGCTAGAACTACCTACCTCAGCTTCCCAAGTGCTAGGTTTACAGATCTGTACCACCATGCCAATTCTTATAGGGCCTTTGGAATGAGAGAAGGCCTGCTCCGATTATTAAGGCAGAGGTGAATGGGCTGGAGGTGGCAAAGGGGTAGTATAGGATCTGGCCTTACACACCAGCCTCCTTGGTGAATGTTTATGTAGGACTTTTCTTGGTAAAATAGAACTAGAGATCTTCTGCTTGAGTACTGGTTGGAGGACATACATTTCTTTATGTACTTCTGGAGATAGGATCTTACTCTGTAGCCCAGGCTAGACTCAAACTTTCCATCCCTCTGTCTTCTAGATACTGGCATTAAAGGTGTACAGTACCATTCCTGGCATTATCTTCTAAATTTTAACTTATTTTTGTGAGTGCTAGTGACAGAATGCAGGACCTTGTACTCAGCTCTACCACTGAGCTCCTTGTACAGAAAAGGATGCTTGGGGGGGAAATGGGGGATTTAAGCAAGGTCTTGTCCATGCTAGGCATGGACCACTGTGCCACACTCCTAGCTCCTCACTGGATTGTACACTAGCGCTCTATTGCCAAGCCACACTTGAACCTAAGCCAATTCTGAATTATCTTGTTCTTAGTTTAGTTTAATTTTCTTTTTGTGCACGCATGCCATGGCACTTGTGCAATCTGAACTTCTTGCAGGAGTCAGTTCTTTCCTTTCACATGTGGGGTCAGGGATAGAGTTTAGGTAGTCAGGCTTGATGGCAGGCACCTTTACCTGATGAGACATCCTACCAGTCCCCAGCTTTCTTTTCAAAAAGACCCTTAGGACTGGATGTGGTGGTGCAGGCTTTTAACCTCAGTTCTTGGGAGGTAGAGGTAGGCAGATCTCTAGATTTGAGGCCCTCCTGATCTACATGGCAAATTCTAGGCCAAACAAGGCTACATAGTGAGACACTGTCTAAAAGGATGATGATGACACCACTGTCAAGGTGGGCCAGCAGATAGAGCACTCTGCACATACATCTGACAAACTGAATTCCAGCCCAGAATCCCATACGGTGGCTGGAGAGAACTGAATCCTGAGAGTTGTCCTCTGACCTCCACATAACTCCAGCATGCACAAATGCATGCTCACACACATCAAATAATAAATGTTTCCTTAGTTCCTGGAGGATGCCAGCCATGTGGGACAGTAGTCTTCTTACCCAGCTGTTCACATTGCACAACAATGTTTTGGTCTTTGGTCTGTTTTAGGGACCAAGGGCCACACTGTGCTCTGTTGGGTGGGTTCTCATGGATCTATGCTTTAGAGCTTTTGATAGGGCTCTACCTGTAATTATGGAACCAGTTGATGACGGTGCTGGTCTTCAGGTTGAGTTGTGTGGCAAGCTCCTCGATCGTTTTTGGTGACGGGTATGGCTTCTGCTGATATGCTCGCTTCAGCGCTTCCTTCTCCTCTGGAGCCAGCACCACTCGAGGTTTCTTCAGCTGGTGTTGTGGCTGGGGGCTGGCACCTTGGCTATAGTCAATGCCCACAGAGGGGGGCTCACAAGGCTGGCTGTCACTGACAGAGCTGTGACGCCGCTTCATGTAGGCTGCAGGGGGAGAGAGAGATAGAGAACAGGTGAGCACAGGGACAATTAGGAAACCAGCTCAAAGCCTCGGCTCTGGGACAGAGCGGTATGATGGAAAACCTATAGGCTGGGTGTGGTGGGACACACATGTAATCCCAGCAGTGAGGAAGCTGAGGCAGGAGGATCATGATTTTGAGGACAATCTAGGCTACAAATAGCTGGGGTGTAGCTCAGTGGTAGAGTGCTTGCCTAGCATATATGATACCCTGTGTTTAAGCCCTAGCACTCAAAACTAAACAAATACCCACCCCTAATAAAACCTGCACTACAGTAGAGCCATATTGTCTGTCCTCAGCATATACTGGAGGCCTACTCTGATGTCATGTGGGTTCCACGCTATCCCTTCCCAAGCTGACTATAGAAAGATACAGCTTGATGAATCTGGTGGCAGGGACACTTGGGTCACCTGAGAGGGGCACTAATAGAGGTCACTGGGACAGAGCTTGGAAAGAGCTGAGAGACTTCCTAAAAGAGAGGATATTCCAAGGTCATCTTGAAGGATGATGCTGGATCAGCTAGAAAATATAGGCACAGGCATAGAAGATAGCAAGAGGCTGGTTAGAAAATGGAAACCTAAGCCAAAGTGGTGAATGCTTACAATCCTAGCACTTGAGAGGTGGAGGCAGGAGGATCAGGTGTTCAAGGTCATCTTTGGCTACATATATGGTTTTAGCCAGCCTAGACTATGTGAGACCCTGTCAAAAGAAAAAGAACGGGGAGAAGAGAAAAAAAAAGAAGTCAATGACTGAGACAAAAGTTACATCATCAGACCCCAAGCATATCACCACAGGACATTCCCAAGGAGAAGCCAAGAGGGGCCCAGAGGGACATGAGGACAGCCAGGGCTAACGGTGTTATGGAAAGGGCTGGAGAATCTTGAGGGGATGGATAGCCAACGGCATCTAGTGCCATAGGGAGGAATGTTAGGAGGGACCAGGCTGGACTTTGGACTTGGTAATAAGGGGGAAAATAAAGCCTCAGAAAGGATCCATGGAGTTGGGCAGCAAAGGCCAAGTGGCTGGTGGGAAGGGAGAAGCAAGGTGGCCAGTGAAGGTGCTGTGCTGGGAGGCTGAACTAAAGACATGGGGAAAGCTCTGGGAAGACTGAGGCAGGAGGGCTTTCAGGTCAGGGTCATGCCAGGCTACACAGTGAGACCAAGTCTTAAAAACAAGGAAGGAGAGGTCAAAATGGCCGGCAGATCTGCTGTTGCAGCATCAAGCTGGAAGGTTTTTGAAAATGGTATTATAATGTTGCAGGATTCAATAAGCTGGGTTTAATGAGAGATGATATAATGTATGAGACTGAAGATGTCAAAGAAGCCATCAGAAGGCTTCTTGGGAATCTTTATGACAGAATGTTTTGAATTAAGAGAGCCCCGGACCTGAGCATGAGGCATCAGATCTTGCCTAAGGAGCAGTGGACAAAATATGAGGTGGACAACTTCTACCTTGAACCCTATCTGAAAGATGTTATTCAGGAAAGGAAAGAGAAAGAAGAATGGGCGAAGAAGTAATCTTGTAGTTGAGATCTGTGGATGTGCCTGGTCTCAGCATATTTTAAGAAGCTGTTTCAATCTGAATCTAAAAATTTAAGAGTTATTTGCTCTGTAGATGCCTCACTTTAAATAAATGTCTACTGTAATCATAAAAACAACACAAACACCAAAGAAGGAAGAAAGGAAGGGAGGGAGGGAGAAGAGTAGGGGAAGGGAGGGGATGAAAAGCAGGAAAGGGAGAGCAAAGAAAGGAAGAAATGAAAAGCAAGACGTGGCTTCCAGAGGGTAAGTCCAGGGCTAGGAGTGGCTTTTTAATGAGTGACTTACATGAGTGTGGCCTGGTAGACATGAGTTTGCTGCACACTGTCCCTAGGTTCAATCCTAGACCATTCTCCACAGTGATAAAGAACCAGCTCTAAGCTGAGGAGAGAGACTGTGGAGAAATCCAAGCGGCTAGAGTGAGGCAGGGTCCTGAGCCTGGAGGAGGAAGGACAGATGGAAACAGAGATGGGGTCCTGGGATAGAGATAGTACTACTGATGTCTGTCTGTAGGAAGCAGAGGCTGGGGAGGCAGGTGATGGGAAAGGAATACTAAGGGGATGGGGAGGGCCATCAGGACTGTGGAGTGATACTGGGAACCCCACAGAAGTTAAAGGCATCAGTCTGTTAGAGATTGTCCAGGCCCAATTAGGACTCCAGAGGCACTCAGCAGCCTAGGGGAGGAGAGGGGTGTGGCTGGGGCACAGCACTAGCAGGGTACTCAGGGCTGGAGGAGTGGGAAGATATTTGGCCAGAAGAGCACCATGGCCAGAGAAGAAGGGGATGCCAGAAATCTAGGGGCCATCCTAGGTAAGTGGAGCAAAGAGAGAAAGGTGGCAGGATATAAGGTGGCTGGGGAATCAGGAGTCTGAATTTAGGATCTGGACAGTGGGAGAATTTGTGTTGGTAACAAGGTCAGGCCAAAGTTGAGGAGGAGGTCAAAAAATATGATTCCTGGGTGCTAGACTAAAAAGGAAAATCGTCCATGTGGGTCACTTTTTTGGCTGACACAGGACAAGGACATGGAAGAAGGCCAATGACTACAGAAAATTGACAGAAGCTAGAGACAGGAGCTTTCACTTATGGAGGCAGGGTGGAGAGGGGTCATGAGGATGAGATCTTGCTTAGGGTATACCCTTAGAGGACATGTAGTATACGGGGGATAGGCAGTGGTGGAATTGAGGTTCTGGGATGCTGTGTGGGCTCTGTTGTATACCTCTGTTATGGCCAACAGTGTTTGGAGCCACAAGTGACTGTAATTGACTTAGCAAGGAATTGGCCACACCAATCATCCCCACCAGCGCTGGTATGTGTGTATGTGTGCATGCAAATGTACATAATGCAAATGGAGGCCAGAGGACAACCTCCAGTGATGTTCCTCGGGTGCCATCCACTCTATTCTCTTTTTAAATTGTGTGTGGCAGGGCGGGGCAGTATGTGCAGTGAGTACAGTGCTAGAGACGTCAGATTCCTTGGGTCCTGGGTTACTCGCATCAGTCACAAGGTTTCTGGGAACCCAGTGAGTTCCTTTTCAAGAACAGCAAGTGTTCTCAAGCACAGAGCTGCTTCTCCAGCCCTTCCCTTTAGTTTTGAGGCAGGGTCTCTCACTGGTCTGGCATCCATCTAGTACGTTAGGATGGTTCTCTAGGGAGCCTGTCTTTCTGTCTCCCTTGTGTTGGAATCACAAGTACATGTCTGTTTTTTTTTTCTTTCTTCTTTTTAAAGGACAAGATCTTTCTAGATAGCCCTAGTTGTCCTAGAATTTTACTACGTTGCTATGTAGACTAGGCTGGCCTTGAACTGCAGAAATCCACCTGCTTCTGCCTCCTTGTTGGGAATAAAGGTGTGTACCTCCACACCTCACTCTTTTTTTTAAGTGTGTTCTGGGGCTGAAACTCAGGTCCTCTTGCTTGCAAGGCAAGAAAGCACTTTACTGACTGAGTCCTGGTTAGCATGGAACTAACTATGACAGTTTATGGAGTGCTGGGATTATAGCTATGTCTCCATACCTGATATTGTTTTAAAGGAATACAAATTAATAATTCTCACTTAATGCATAACTATCTGACTACTTCTACTGTTTCTAACTCTTACCCTTTGGAGAGGTTGGTATTCTCATCATCCTTGGTTGCAAGAAGAAGACTTCATGCTGGACAGTTACTGAACTCTACTATTTTATTACCAAGAAAACTATTGAGAAGGTACATCCTGGGGGTTGGGGATGTGGCTCAATGGAGGATTTCATTTGCAGTGTGTGTGGCTCAGTGGAGGATTTCATTTCCAACACTGCATAAATGTGGTGGTGGGCAGGATCCCTGGAATCCAGGACAGCATGGGCTACATAATGAATTGGAGATGGACAGAGGATGATCAGGAGTTCAAGGTCCCATTTGGCTGCAAGAGACTATTATATATATGAGAGAGAGATGGACAGAGGGAAGAGGGGAGTGGTGAGGCAAGGAGAGCCAACCTCTACATCACCAGTTCTCAACATGTGGGTCATAACCTCTTTGGGGGTAGAAAGATCATTTCACAGAGGTCACCTAAGACCATCAGAAAACACAGATTACATTCCGGTTCATAACAGTAGCAAAATTACAGTTATGAAGTAGCAACAAAAATAATTTTATGATCAGGGTAACTACAACATGAGGAGCTATATTAAAGAGTTGCAGCATTAGGAAGGTTGAGAACCACTGATCCAGATGCTCAGGATGTGACAGTTGTCACAGGCACCAAGCAGAGGAGGACCAAGCAGTGGCACCTGCTATGTTACTGACAGGTCAGGTGTCCAGTTGCCTGAGAAGGCTGGTGAAGGCTTCCCTATCTAGTAGCCCTAGTAAATGGCTTAACAGCCATTCTAGGGACCTGGGATGCCCTGGGTATGAGTTCCATGGAGACAGTAACACTTTTGTGACACAAGGTGGCACCAGAGCCCATGGGGAAGGAAGATGGAGGCATGGAAAGCCTGGAGCATCTAATTTGGGATAGAGAAGAACAAGCCTCTCTGTGGACATCTGAAGGGGCAGGGTTGCAGGTGGCTGGTCTAGGCTGCAACAGGAAGTAGGACACTTTACTATTATCTGGGTAAGTACTGGAAACTGTTGAAATTCAGTAGCAGTGTTTACTAGCTTCTTTTGCTTGTTTTCTTCTTCTTGAGCTAGGGTCGCACTAAGTTGCTCAGTCTGATCTACTTACTCTATAGCCCAGGCAAGCCTTGAACTATCTTCTTCCCTTCTAAGATTTCCTCAGACTCACTGTGTAGCAAAGATGACCTTGAACCTCTGATCCTCCTGTCTCCACTCCCTGAATGCTGAGATTAAAGACATATACTACTTCCTTGGTTTAAGTGGTGCTAGAGATGGAACCCAGGGCTGTGTGCATGCTAAGAACTGAGCTATAGCCAATCCTCCTGTCTCAGCAGCCCAAGTGATGGCTTTAAAGACTCATGCCCTATTCCCGGCTGGTCTACTGGTTCTTTATATTATTCTTTGCATTATTATTTATTTACTTATTTTTTGCTTGAAAGTTAACATAGTAAGTTAAAAAACTGTGAAGTCACTAGGCTTTTCAAGTATGTGGTGTTGCCTGGAGCTGCCCTGGAGCTATGGCCTGGGTCACACCTTAGGATGGTCCATAACCAGTTGAAGTGGCCCTTGATGGGTAGAAAGCACATTGCTGATAAGCAGAGGCATCATGAGGTCCCAGTGTGGCAGACCTCCAGCACAATGGTACCAACAACCACATCTCTCCTCCCAGCTTCCCAGGGTCAGGGATAGAACCCAGGGCTTTCTTTATTCATGCTAGGAGAGTACTCTACCACCCAGGCTATAGCCCCAGCCTCTTTACAGGTATGTACTGTCATGTCTGGTTCAAAAGGCATTTCTTTCTTTCCTGTATTTCCCCCAAAACTGGCGGTTGAACCCAGGTCTTATACCTGCCAAGCAAGCACTCTATAAACTAGCTACAATCCCAGCCCATCACTTAATGAGCTCTTCAGTATCTTCACAGGCCTTTAGCATGAGGTACACACTCAGTAGATGATGTAACATGTAATAAATGAGCTAAAAGGCAGCCAGCAAATGATCCATTACCACAGACTATGATCTTTATTTATAGACTCTTGGCCCCACAGAGGGACATGTCTCCTTTGTTCTTACCTTTCTTCTCCATCCGCTTCATGTCCATCAGCTTCTCCACATTGTTGGGGTCATTCAGCCACAGCTGCATGCGGACAAAGGGCTCTCGTCCTTTCAAACTGAGCTTATGCCAGGGCTTTGGGCGGGCAAGGAGGTCGGAGACAGAGCCCTGGGTGAGCCCCAGGATGGTCTCTCCAAATAAGCGCTGACCTGGAGAATAAATGTGAGAGATGGTCACTGATAGACAGGGGCAAGCAGGTGCCAAGGACCTGAACTAAGACACATGGTCCAGTGGCCCACAGTCTGGCCTGCCAAGGCCTGGCCTACAGCAATACTTTGTAAAAGTATTTCTCTTTAGTTTTTACTGACTGGAGATGGAACTTAGGGCTTTGTGCATGTTAGGTGAGTCTATTGCTAAGCTATGTCCCCCTGTCTCTGACTGGGGGATTCTAGGGAGGTGCTCCACCTCCAACCTCCAACTTCGGTACCGAAACATTGCTTTCACTTGTCTTCTAACAACTTCATTGGCAAGGGAACTAGAATATACTTGCACAAACCCAGAAGGGGGAGTGGCAACTGCCCAACTCTCACAGGCAACTTCTAATCAGAGGCCAATTGGGTGTCCTTTTATAATTAGCACTTGACCCCTGGGTCACAGCAGGAGGGAGAAGGGGTCTGGAAGCTTTGGGTTTGAAAGGCTCATGGCTGTACTGCTTTTGCAGGCTAAGCTGCCTTTGCTTAGTGTGGCTCAGAGTACCAAACCTTCCCTGGAGCCCTGTCTTCTCCCAGGCAGTATAAGCAGCCTACATTAGGTTGATCACAGGGCAGGTGGCTATGGAGGGTGCAAGAGCTTCCAAGACTGCACTGAGTCTCAGGCTTAAAAGAAGGGCTTGAAAACTAGAAGAGATGGCTTACCACACACAAGCATGAAGACCTGAGTTAGATACCTAGCACTCATATAAAAAGCTGGGCACAGTGCTGTATTCTATAATCTCTGAACTGGGGATGGGGAAGGCAGGAAAACCGCTGCAACTCAATGGTCAGCCAGTGTAGCCCTAACAGTATGCTCCAGGGTCACTGAAAAATCTTTTCCCAAAAACTAAGGTGGAGAGCGTTTGAGGAAGACAATCCACATTGACTTTTGATCTCCATGTACATGCCATATGCACACACATATAATACAAAAAAGGGTTGCTTCCTCATGAAAGCCTTTCCCCTGTGTGGTGAGGAGAGGGCTGCTATTCTTAAAGCTGTATATCAGAATCTATTGTGACCCATGTGGACCAATAGGAAAAGCTTAAATGAACAGAAGCTATTGGGTGGAAGTGGAGATGGGATCAGAAAAAGGCCACCATGTGGTCCAACACAATATCTGGGACATAGGACACAAGGCAGAATAAGCCAATTGCAGCTAGAGGATGGCTTATGTCTTCAGCTATGAACTGAAACCACTGTAGGGACCATCCAGAGAAAATGATGTGGCACTATGTACTATAAACATGATTGACTGTGTAGCCAAATTTAGTTTAGGGAGGCTACCCCCCATTTTAACTTAAATTTACTAGATTAAGGGTATGGCTCAGTGGTAGAGCATTTGCCTAGGAACCCCCCCTCCCACCAACCATGAGGGGCTAGGAGTGTGGTTCAGTGTTACAGTGTTTGAACATGCTAGGATCCAAGGTTAAGTTAGGAGTGTATCTGGATCTTGGCCAGGGGTCATCTCTGCTGCCTGATGCAGCTAGACACGGGCCACTCTGTCCCCACAACTACAGTCAGGGTCTTGTGGGAAGGCAGATAACATTCCCACAAGTCTTAAGACCAGTTAGAGCCACCGAAGGGATCCTGATTGCTAAGCCAGGTGATGGGCTCCAGGCTTTTTTGGAAGTTTTTCAGGTTAATAACTGGTCCTATGAAGCACTGGAAAGTTCTGTAGGCCAGTAGGGTACTGCTCTAGCTGCATGTAATATATGGAACTAACTTTCCAGTAGGAACTGAAGCTGCTTAGTGATGCCAAGGAGGAGGCTCCAGTGTTTGGCATTTCCAAACTGCGATCTTACGACTTGGTGGTTTGAAAGGAGGTTTTTCTTTTGCTATGCTCAATGTTTACACGGAAGGATGCTTTCTACTGGGGGTGGGTAGCAGGAGTAATCGGCTTGCTTCCTTGGACTCGTGACAAGTCTGTGAAGAAGGGGATGACTCAAGTGTAGGAATCCTTCCACATTTCAATAACCGATGAACATATGGGCTTTGGGCTGTTCTCAAATCAGCAGCTAAATTTTCATCTTTTTATGAATGAGTGGTTACAATTGTTCTCAGTGGATGTTCCTTTTTACTATATTCTGTTTTGGACAATACATTGCACAAATGGGATGTAGCACATGATGGTTGGGCCTAACTCCAGACTGTAAGTCACTGGCAGACTTCACTGAAACTCAGTAGCAACTTGTGTTGTGTGAATGTGAATGTGCATGTGCGTGTGTGCCTGTGTTTGCACATGTGGCAACCAGAGGACAATTTTGGCTGTCATTCCTTAGGCATAGTCCACCTTCATTTAACGTTTTTTCTTTTATATTTATTTATTTAGGTGTATGTGTATATGCGCCAGAGGATAACTTGTAAGAGTAGGTTGTCTATGTCTACTCTGTGGGCTTCAGGAATTGAACTTCGGTCTTTAGGTTTGGCAGCAAGTACCTTCACCCATGAGACATTTTTCTGGCTCTCACCCTGTATTTTTATGATAGTTCTTTCACTGGCCTGCACTTCAGCTAGGTTGGCTGGCTGGTTAGTGAACCTCAAGGATCCCGTTGTCCTCCCCCACATAAGGATTATAAACATGCCACTGTGCTTGGCAATCTTTTGTTTGTGTTTTTCGAGACAAGGTTTCTCTATGTAACCACATAGAACTGACTCTAGATCAGGCTGGCCTCAAACTCACAGAGAGATCTGTCTGCCTCTGTCTCCCCAGTATTAGGATTAAAGGTGGTATGCTAACACTGCCTGGTTCAATGCTTGGCATTTTTTACATGGGTTTTGGGGACTGAACTCCGTGCTGCATGGCAAGCACTTTACAGCTGAGCTGTCTCTTCAGCCTCACCTGCACTTGTCCCTCCTGTCTTGTTCTATCACGGGAAAGGTAAGACACGCAGGTCTGCCTGAAGTGGCGTACAGTTCCCGCCATTCTGTGGGGTTGTCTCTGTGTGCTCCTTTCATTGACATTCTCAATTGGGACTCATGAGGACACACGACCTGCAGAGAAGCTGCAGGTTTTCTTGCCATGCCTGCCCAGGAAGGCCTGACTGATCAATACAACTCTGAGGAAGCATGATGATTTAACAATAGCAAGATGCCCCAATATTCTTGGGGCCACAGCAGCTCCTATCCAGCAGAGAGCCTCATAAAATCACTTCAGAGTCCAGGTTAGCTATAGCATGTATAAGGCATATGGCTTGTGGTTGACACCATGAAAGGGAGACCAACTCAGTACTGCAAAGCGGCAGAAATAACAGCAGCAGTATTAGATGGCTTCAAGCTGCCAGGTAGGGGCCTCAGAGCTACTGAGAGTCACTAGCCTGTGATAGGCAGGACCAAGCCAGTGTCACTGAGGGGCTGGCTTATAGGGCACACATGGCTTGCCCCACAGCGGGCACAGTTAGGGAGATCAGGAGCGGACCTTGTTTTTGATGTCCATGTAGTCACCTGATAGTGCAGGATTGAGCTGACCCACTGCAGTATCCACTATGGGTTTAGGCTCTACAGGGCATGTCCTAACACAGGAGGCCTCTGTGGGCTAACTGAACTGCCCTGGTTTATAGGTTATCTCCTAAGGTATGTTGGGAGAGGGCTGATATTGACTCCTATGGTTCTTGAACTCCAGTGAGTGGGCTAGTATTCACACTGTAAGATATTTCATGGTTTTTTGTTGTTGTTTTGTTTTGATGGAACTCAGGGTTTCAAGTGTTCTAGGTAGGTGCTCTACCACTGAGCCACATCTCCCAGGTTCATTATTGGACAATTTTAGGCATATCCTCTGCTTCTGAGCCATACCCCCAGGACCAGGCTCTTTAAAGTACACTGTTACCATTAACATGTGTCTAACATGTAGTTCGACAGTTATCATTGTAGCCCAGCACAAAGTCAAACTTTAAATATTGAGATGTCTGTTTCTTTTGTGAACTCTGTGTATACCAACTGTATGTGGCAAAGTAAAAAAGTCCAATGAGTGGCGATTTTAGAGCCTTTGGTTGGCTCAGCCTGCAGCCCCTTTCCTTACTCATTCAAAGGTTCAAACAGGAAAAGACTGGATGACTGGTAACCTGGCAATGGTGACCTACCGAGGTTGTTGTCTGTCAGCACCTCTTTGACCCTCTTGGTTATGCCATAGGTGTCCAGCTCAGGAGACATGGCTACTAATTCTTGGATGCTGAGGGCTGAGTGTCCAGAGAGAGGCAGCGGTGTTGTGGGTTGGGAGTCTGAAGCGGGTGGGTCGCTGGGTTCTGGTGGTTTGCCTTCTTTACTGGTCTCAATGGCAGGACAGGGTTGCTGGACCAGCTCGGTGAGACTCTTCACGGATTCGCTGGAACTCATTGGGGACTCAGGGGCAGGGCTGCAGCTGGCAGAGGTCTTTGGAGTGCTTTCTAGAATTAAACACAGCAAGAATGGCTGCTGAAAACAGTCATCTTTCACCACGTACACCGACTTTGCTTCCTTAGGAAGTGTTAATTAAATCCCCTATTCTAGAAGGGTAACGTGTGGTAGTCCTCAGGACTGTCTGTTATTTCATAGTTTTTTCATTAAGTGTAACCTTTAATTTTCTGCATTAAAGGAATAAAAATAACACCAACAAAGACAAAAAAAATCAACTAAAGGTTCAAATAAAAGGTTTCTGAAGGCTTAATATCAGGGCATTTTTTTTTTGCTAAAAAAATATGTCATTATGACTGCTATGATTTGTTCTAATCAAACCCCATGGTTCTGGTAATTCAGAGGGACTGAGGGTAGAGTCTAATATATGTGATTATTTCTTCTATATTTCTCAGAACAAAAAATATGGACAGGAGGAGGAGAGATAGCTCAGTAGGGGAAAAGCTTGCCTTGCAAGCGTGGGGATCTAAGCTCTATCCTTAGAACCCATGCTAAAAAGCCAGGCATGGTAGTGCATAGTTGTAATCCCAGCACTTTGAGGGCAGAGACAGGCTGACCCTTAGCACCATGGGTCAGTCATCTTTTTGAACTCAGTGAACTCTGGGTTAATAAGAGATTGTCTCAAAAAACAAGGTGGATGGTGCCTATGGACTGAGAACCAAAGGTGTCCTCTAGTTTCTAAATGCATAGACAAGTATGGACAGATCATTTTAGGTGAGGGTTGCTTAAGAGGCTAGATGGTTATATGGTCAGTGCCTCAGCTGTTGGTCTCTAAGGAGGTCCAAGGAGTTTTGATTCACATTGCTTTTTTGTGAGACTACCAGAGGTGCTGAAGCTAGTGGAAGAAGACAGGTACCAAAGAAGGGTGGCACGCCTGCTCTGCACCACCCCAGGTGCTTGGGGGCATTCCTCCTTATTTTAGAAAACTATGTTCTTTGCGCATACAGGCCATACAGTGAATTGACACCAGAAAGGGATTGGTGTGGAGACCATCAGGCATCGCACATTAGAACAGTCTGCCTTGTTTGGGGGTCACTGACTGTGCCCAGTGGGAAGTGCCTGCCTTCTGGCTGAGTGTGATGGCTAATATGATCATTGTGAGAGGATACAGAATCACTGAAGGGACCAGCCTTGGACATGCCTGTGATGGGGTTACCACTCTAGGCTGAGAATTGCTGTGGGAAGGTCTACTCTGCATATGGACAATTCCATTCCATGGGCTGTGGTCTTGGACTGAACAGAAAGGAGAAAGTGAGCTGAGCACCAGCATCTGTCTGTGCCTCCTGACCATGTGACCAGCCACTCAAGCTCCTGCTGCCCTAACTTCCCGCCATGATAGGTAGTGTCCTCTCAATCCATGAGCCAGAAGAAGCTTTCTCCCCTTAAAGTTGCTTCTGTCAGGCATCTTGTCACAGCAAAAGAAAACTAATACAGTGATCACCCCTGCCCCCCCCCCTTTAGTAGCATCACCTGTAAAACCTGGCACACTGCCTTGAGCCTGGTTTAGGGTTATCCAGAATAAAGACGGTCATATCCTAATTTCCAGTGACACAGAGCGCATCGAGAATGGAAGTGTGAATGACTCCAATCCACAAGACTCAATCTGTCTTTGGCCTTATTCTGTGTTTGCTACACCTTCTCTCCTAATTTCCACTGAGGTTGACATATCTTAGGGCCATGTAGTCAGGCAAAATGTTGTCACATCAGTGCCTGAGTGATGATAATTACATTGAAATGTACTTTTTTCTAAGAAGGTCTGTATTCAACATAAAGCTCTAATTTATAGTTATCCCCCAGTGGCTAATAGATGACTGACTGGTGACGTTGGCAAGAGTCCAAAGGCAGGGCCTCTGTGTCCTCTTGTTGCTGCTCCTTCAAGCTGTAACAAGTCCCTGAGTAACATTATCAGCACAGCTGCAGGTAGCCCAAAGTACTGTTACCTGAGCTTGGGATGTGGTATAATGGCAAAGCACCTGCTTCTGAGCATGTCAGTGCTTTGAATTACATTTACAGCTATGCAAACAAAAATCCCACCAATATAGAAACAAAAAAGAAAATACTGTTATCTGACTAAAATGTAATAAAGAACAAACAAACAAACAAACTCACTGTTATCTGACTAAAACACAACAGGGAAGATTTTTTTCAGCTTATGTTGTGTGTGTGTGTGTGTGTGAGAGAGAGAGAGAGAGAGAGAGAGAGAGAGGAGAGAGATACATGTATGTGTATGTACAGAGGCCAGAGGAGGATGTCAGATGTCATGCTCTATTACCCTTTATCTTATTCCCTTGAGACGGGGTTTTTCACTAGGCTGGAGGCCAGTGATCCTCCTGTATCCACCCCCCTGAGCATGGGGCTACAGTAGGCATGTAACACCTGGCTTTTTACGTGGGCATTGAAGGTTTGAACTCAGATCTTCATCTTTATGTAGCAAATGCTTTTTACCTCCCCATATTTGGACTATCCAGGAAGTGGGATATACATTAAAAACCAAATATTTTATATGAGCGCCTAGGAAGAACAAATGAAGCCTGAAACAGAACCACAATTGAATCCAATAAGCCTGTGTAATGCCCTCAATTGGTACAAAGTCCCACTATCTCATAAAGTTGTGTGCTCAGCATGGAAAAAAATCAGGTTAAGAACACAACTGAACTGCTTTGTGAGACATGTAAAAGAGATGAGTGGGGGGCAGAAATGGCCTGAATCCATCTTTAAGGCAGTATGAATCCTGTAAATCAGATTTCTTCTCTCCACTCACCCTTGGGTCACCAGACAACAGGGTCTAAAACCTAGCAAATGTTGTCTGTGTGTTGGAAGCAGCAAAGGAATTGCACTGTAAATTCACCCTGATTCACCCATGCGAGGGGACCCATTTGGCAGATCATCCATCTTATTCACTGACTACTGTCAAGAATAGCATTTGTCCCAAGCATGATAAACAGATTTCTCCTAGGTTTGTGTCCTTTAACCCACAGCAAGGTCGAAATCATGGCTGCCTGCACCTAATAGACAGTACAGGCTGTCAGCTGTCTGGGAGGCAGAGCATACCAAACAGTTTCAGCTGCCTGCTAGTCCTTCTTGCAATTGTGTTGTATTCAACATCCTCCTGCATGCATGCTGGCTATGGAAGGCCTGCAAAACCTAACAGGTGTACACTTAGCATGCATGGTGTCCCTTTGCACTCCCCACTATTGGAAAAAAGGGAAAGCCCCTACTGAAGAAAACGACACACTGTTGCAAGTTGTTGAGGCTGACTAGTATTTGAGTGTACTTGGAGGGAGGGGCTTATTCACAGAGATACTTATATGCTGTAGTCTTAGGTTAAAGAAAGCTGAACATCCGTGTTTTAATTTGTTGCTGCTGTTTTAAAAAAAAAGTCTCATGTAGCTTAAGCTGGCCTTGAACACACTAGCTCTCTGGGAATTACAGGTATGCCCCACCACACCTGCTTTATTCAGACTTCTTTGACTACATAGTGTTGCTGTGTCCATCCTTGTGAGAGCTGGGGGCAGGAAGCTGGAAGTTGGGATGGAGATGCAGGTTCAAGAGCAACTTAGGAGAAAGCCTGGATGGTTCAAAGATATGTGATAGGAGGTTTTGGGGTAAAGTCTGGAGTCCCTTGCATCCAGAGGGGGCATGCTATTGCATGGGTGCTGTGGAGCGAAGTTGCCTCCCCTGAGCTTAAGTGTGGTAGTGGTCACCTGCAATCCCAGTACTAGGGAGGCTGACACAGGGGGATCTTGAATTTCAGGCCTTCAGAATATATATATATATATATATATATATATATATATATATATATATATATAAAATTTTAAAACACCTCAGAATGAAAGTCAGAGCAGGAGATGGCTCAGTTGGTACAGTGTCTGTCATGAGAGTATGAAGAAGACCTCACATCATTCCCTGAAAAGGCATGTTTAGGACCAGGGAGATGGCTTTTTTTAGCAGGTGAAAGCACTTGCTATTAGGTGTGATGATGTGTTTGTTCCCGGGGACCCAGGAGGAGAAAACTCGTATCTGAGGATTATTCTTTGACCTCCACATACACAATGTGACACATATGCACCAATACATATCAGCCACATGAAAACAATATAAAACAAATTAGGAAACCAACCCTCCAAACCTCACACAAACAAACAAATATCAAAAGGCTAAGTGCAGTGGTAGGTACTTGTAATACCAGGCACAGCGGAACCCTAGGACTCCCAGGCCAGTCAGCCTAGCTGAATTTGTAAGCTCCAGATTCAGTGAGAAAACCTGTCTTAAAAAATAGGGTGGAGAGAGACAGAGTAAGTCTTGTCACTGACCTCTGGCCTCCACAAGTATCATGTGCATGGATGGGAACACCATATGAAACGCTACTTTGTAATCATTTGTCATACCAGTCACCATGGAAGTGACACTGACCTGGCTTACTGGGTACAGGTGCCAGGTGACACTTATGGAAAGGAATTTATGCACTCTATTCTCATGACCGCCTTCCAATACATAGCACAGGTGACCTGGACACATTCAGATGTCTCATCCTACAGAGCCATCTGCATAGTTGCTCAGTGTTCACCCTGTGCTAAGTGTCTGCTCAAGGCCCATCTTTGTGGGCAGTGATTCTACAACACACGGGTGTCAGCAGCAGGGTTCTCAAACATGGTGATGAGTCACTAGAAGACAGTCATGGCAAGGGTCAGGGAAGGGGCTCAGGGCACACTTTTTTTAAAACCTCATATGCATGAAGCTGTGTGCTGGGAACTTTGGCTGTTGTCTTGCTCCAATCTCCTAATAACCCTAGTTGGACACATGCCCACACTCCAGGCTGGAGAACCGGCTGGCTCCATCTGGTCAGATATCCTTGGATGGAACAAGGATGGGAGCCAGAACAGAATGGAAAAACTGTATTTCTACCTATAATGTCGTCTGTCGATCTGACAACCTCCACCTACCCACCCACCACCCACCCATCCATCCCCTCACTCACCCATTCCCCATC